CTCTAAAACTCTTCTATCTTTATTTCTTTCTTTCTTATTCACTTTACCCAATATCATATCAACTAATTCGTCCTAAACGCGACAAAAAAAAAAATATAATACTTTCGAGTTGTTCGATTTTACATCCAAACCCCCCGTCCCAACAAAAAAAAAAGAAAGGAAAAAAAAAACGGAGGGACAGAAAAATTACAATTCCTTAAAACAATATTTACTTATTTACTTTTAAATGAGAAGCTAAGTGGATCTTAGCTTACACGATAGGGAAAGATGGTATCTGTCAAAGTCACATTTTTTTCTTTTCACACTTTACCATAAAAGATGATCTTTTGATATTTTGTTCCTTTTTTCTTTTTTGTTCCTTTTTTTCTGAACGAATAGAAGAGATGAAGGTCTCGAGAAGGAATAAAAGAAATTCTTCTTAAAAATCATCTTTTTTTCCCTTCTATTTGTGGTGTTTATTCAATAGGCTATTCCTTTACTAGATCTTGTTGCTTCCGCATTAGTGTTTGTGTGCGTTCGTAAGGTTGTGTATGCGTGTACGGATGTCCGTAGTGAAACGAACTGTATTACGGATAGTAATAGTACTATAAATTCATTCATGGATGAAGAAACCGTTCGATCCTTTGTAACTAGTTTATGAATGAACGTGTATTACAGATTTTTTTTTTTTTTCTTTAACTACACCCGATATCCGGTTCATTCATTCCGGTCTTATTCTTTAACCAAAAAAAGGCAATCTTATTTTATTTAACTTTCTTTAATTCTCTCTCAATCACATATATGTACATATATCAAAATTTATTATATATTATATATTTTTAATATCAATTATTTCCTGAATAAATATCTTAAGATATATATTGAATATATTATGTTGAGAGACATGGTATTCTTATTTATTTAAAAAAAAATTTTTTCGCTCGAAAACACAAAATTCAATTTATTAATAAACATCATTTTTTAATCAGAATTTTACAGAAATATTTTTAAATAACGGATAATCATTATTCGATTCGCTGTTACACGTTTTGTTGGAAATCCTCCCCGCACCCCCTATTTTCCGGGTAAAAGGTACTCCCCGAACGAGTACTTACTTCCTGTGTTGAAATAATATTTTATGGTGGTCGACTTAAAAAGGTGGACACTCCAAAATGGAAAGAAGGTATAAGCTTTTGACATATTCAGGTGTCGGTTAGGAAACGTGCCGACTTGAATGAGGAGGGTTCAACCATTTACGAAATCTATCTTTTCTATTGTGTGTTAACAAAACAATATTGCTACCTGTAGTATAATAATACCTGAAGATTTTCCCGATGGTCACTTATTTATTGCCTGTACGTGTTCACTCGAAGATTCGACGAATTTTCGAGTGGTTGCTCACTCTTCCTCTCTCCCCCATCTTTTTGACACTTTTTTTTTCTTCCATTTTTCTCTCGAGTTTTAAAGTATCTCTCAAACTTCCGACAATGAATAAATTATAAAACATAATCAATCCAACCTTTCGAAACATTTCTAACGACAAGTAATATGTATAAAGAAATTCATATTCAAACCATAAATTAAAAAAAAAAAAAAGAAAAGAAAAGTAACTTATAACCCTAAGCGTTTTCTTTCTTTTTTTTTTCTTTTTCTTTAATTTTTCTACTACTATTTTTTATTACACTTTTATTTTTACCACTATTAAGGGATGACCGAA